TGGTTCTTTTAAATTTCTTACTTCAAGTTTGGGTTTTATAATAAAAGATACTTTCAAATGCATCTAAAGAATACAGATTAGTTATAAAGTGTGAGAATTATTTTTCCACTTTTCTTTAAAAAGTATTTCTTATCTGAGGGGCATGTGTAGGTATTTGAAGTGCATTTGTCCTTCCTGGGTGGTCGTATTGGTGCACGACATCTGTCACACATGAAGCCACCAACTCCAATGCGTTGAGGACAGGCAGCCATAGCTTTCATCTGGAAAAGTAAAAATCTTTAAGAAAAAGTAAGCAATTTGACCAAGGTCAATTCCACCATAAGAATTGGAAGAACCATAAATACAAGAAGAAAACAGCGTTTGCCTTTAACTTTCCCACAATAATGCTACGTGTTCCCACAGTCAGCGTGATTACTTACCTTATTTTTCAACTTTCCTCAGTAATAAAATACATCAGTATAGAAACTGGGAGAGCTACCCATGTTAATAGAGGGGACAGTGTTAGTTATGACCCCACAGTCATTTACTTTACTCGACATTACAGGATCCCATACTAGTTCACTGGTGTATTGCTCAGGCTAAGGGGAAAATTACTCTGATTTTCTAAATGCACATCAGCTAGGGGTTAGTTTAGGTGGCCAGGGTACAAGTGGGGGCGGGAGGTGGGAGGAAGGCAGCAACAGAGAATGAAATTTGCCTCCTGTTGTCTATGACTCAGATGGAAATACCGTAGATAATTAGGAATTAAATATCAAACCAAGCATCTCAGCACAGATTTGATGTTTTTGTTATTACAGTGTGCTTCATGGTCGGAAAGTTTTGATTTGAAAATGTGATTAAAATGACTGAAGAAAATTTCATGATAAATAAAAAATAAAACAGAAAGCATACTAAAAATTATCTCAAACAATACCAACAAAATATACAGAAAGAAGTCACCGTCCTCGCCGAGCCTGGATTGAATCCTAAGATACTGAACTTTCAGTGCATCCAAGCCCCCTACTCTGACCTCTGACTCCCAGAGCATGTGGTCATTTGGTCGAGAAATCCAAGTTGAAGTCCTGTGGCCACATCTTTTGCCTGACATCAGGGACAGAGGTGAAGGATGCCATCCCTGCCCTCTGAGAGCTCGGGCTATTTAGTCATTAGTGTGGTTCATATCATACCATGTTATGGCTCATTGTGAACATATCTTGAGGAAGAACTCAGGTCTTATTTGTTCACTGTGTCTAGCACAGGAATCAATTTTAATTGCAGAAAAGAGTTTAAAAGGTATTTTTCTACCCAAAATATGGGAAGGGGAATAAAGAGAAAAATGAGATTAGATGGAAAAAGAATCAGAGTTGTTGGACTGAACGAGGCACTAAAATTTCCTGATTGCCCATCATTCCGGGGAACCTGTACGTGTCCCCTTATTTAGTCCTCACCCCATCACCCCAATCCTGTGAAGCAGGAAAGAAACTAAGCCTTACAGAGGTTAATGCCTTGCTCTGTTCCCACCCATCCGCCCCACTGCAGCCTGTAGACCCTGTCTGGTCACTCACTGGCTTACCAGCCTTCCATGGTTCTCCATTGTCCTTGGAATAATGTCCAAATCCCTCAACTGACCTTTAAGGATGTATGGGACCTGGTGCATTCCCATGTCTCCAGTCTCATTTCTTGCCATTCTTTCTCCTGCTCTCTTCTCTTTTGGTGTAACGCATTTCCTTCAGTTCCTTGAGGACACACCATGCCCTTTTTCATCCTGGCCTTCCCACAGGCTCTTCTTAAATTTGGAATGCATTTCTTTTCTTGCTTTTCAATAAATATTGAATGAAGGAATGAATGAATGAAGAGATATTGGGGAGAGTCAGAGTAGAACCCTGTTCAGTGGAAAGATTAGCAGTAAAGGGATTAGGGAATTAATCACAAAACTGTGAAAATAGATGAGTTCTTTGAAGTTTAAGCTGATCACAAGACATAGCACATCTAGCACCCAGATCTTCGTTTTCTCTCTTCACTAGTTCCTGCTCTTCCTTCAAGCCTCAGCATTAGTGCCGGTTACCCTTGGAAGTTTTTCTGACACCCAAATGGTTAGCTCCACTAGCTGTGTGCCCTATAGCTCTATGCACTTCCCATCTATAATGCTCATCACAACTGAATGAAGCTGCTTGAGGGCAGGCCCTGACTTTCTTGTTGGAAGAAACAAACTGTGCCATCCTCAGCACATAGCATTGTAAACACCACATAGTGGTTTCTCTCTTTCTATTTCTATGTAACATTCTCCAATCAAATGAAGCAGGAATCCTTAGAGAAAGAGCTGATTCTAGGACTGGGGCAGGGAAAATTCAAGATGAGTCTGGAGCATCTTGTAGTGCTAGAAAGTAAGGAAGTGCTCAAATGTCTGAAGTGTGGGGCGGATGTAGTGATTCATCTAACAGACCGAATATGGAAATGGAACTGGAGTAACTTTAGTAACAGGAGAAAGCTGGCAGACCCTACCTTAACCAAGTGATCAAAGTTAACCTCACCGGCAATACATATTGACATCATGGACTCCCTGATATGACGCAATGAGAAAGGCACTTCTCTTCTGGGATATTCTTCCACAAGATCTATAACCTTTTTCTAATCACAAGAAAACATCAGGTAACTTAAATCAGGGAGCAGTGTAAGAAATACCTGACCAGTGTACACAAAATTGTCAAGGTCATGGAAAACAAGGAGTGACTGAGAAGCTGCTAAAGAATCAGAGGAGACTAAGGAGATATGACAACTAAGTGCAACATGGTATCCTGGAGCAGAAAAAGGATATTAGTGGGAAAACTGGTGACATCTGAATAAAGTCTATAGTATAGTTAATTTTACTGTGCCAATGTTAATTTCTTGGTTTTGATAAACGGTCTGTGGTTATGTAAGATGTCAACAACTTAAGAAGCTGGGTGACAGTATACGGGAACTCTGCACCTCATCTGAAAATCTAAATTTGTTTCAAAATAAAAAGTTGGAAACAAAACATTCCACCTGAGGCTTGGCAGGAGGAGTATAGTGGAGGGAACAGGGAGGCTTGCTTGATGTAAGGTCCATGAAATGTTGGCCCTCTAGCAGTGCATATAATGTTACCCTTAGCTGAATGGGGTTTTCAATATTATGGAAGGATTTACATCCTTAAACTCCTTTGACCCTCTCCATTGAAAGGAAGGATAGGCAAGGAAAGTGCTTACCTTCAACGAGAACTAGAATGAGCTTCTCCCAAGACATTAGGACAAAATGAATGTCTTACTTATAATGTTTGAGGTTTGGCATTCGTAGAGACCAAAGTGTCTTCTCTGAAAGAAACTGATTGGAAAGAAGACTGGGACGTCATTAATTAACACACTAAGGAAAGTATAAAACAGAGGTGGCAACCAAGTCTATAGAAAAGATAGCCAGAACTATGAATTAGCATGTTTGCAGCAGGGTCCAGGGGGGATGTAGGCCCATGCTGTGTCTCATAAATCCAGATAATAGGATCTTCTCTTGGGTAAAGATCAATGACTCAGGCCATTATAGCTCCCTTTTCTGATTCTGTGCTCTCTAAACAAGTAATTAAGGCACACAGAAAGGAAAGTAATTACCTATGTACTGAGCACTGTGCTAGATAATTTAAATGCTTTATTTTTTTTAATTCTCTCATAACACAGTGAAGTAGGCATTATTGCCCTCAGGTTGCATGTAGGAAGCAGAGACAGAGAGAGAGATTAAGCAACACACTTGGTTACAAAGTAAATGGCAGAGCTGGGATTCAACCGAGGTGTGTCTGATGCTCTGACCCAAATTCTTTCCAGACCAGGATGGTAGGTACAGAAAAGATTCTCCTCTTTAACCATCCTAACTGATGGGGACTCCTGGCAAAAACTGGCCCACTGCACTCTAGGATTGTCTCATAGAACACTCATTGTTTAAAGGCAGAAACCCCACTTGCCTTTTGAAAGCAACAGTCTCCGCAGTGAATGGACGAGAAGGTGACTCCCCGGCATCCATTTCTTCTTCTCTTGGTGATTACCCCAACTTTCATTGGGTATTAATGCCAACCCTACCCAGCCCAAGCACTTCATTTGAGGCTGGCTCCACCCCTGGCCCTTGGCAGGACATCCGATTCAGACTAGTGTGGCCCTATTCTCGGCCCCAGATTTTGGTGAAAGGATGGGCATGCAAGCAAATTTGGGTCTAGAAGCATGAAGATTCGTTTGCTGGGAGCCTCTGAGAAATATGGCTCTTTGCTCTTCTGAAGGATTTTCAAGATGTTCTTTCCTCTCTTCTGGGATAGGAGTGAGGAAGCATGTAGCACAGCGGGAGGGATGAGGAAGCAGGTTTCAACTAATCACTTTGTCCCATGAAGAGGAGTCAGCCTTTGAGGAATGTGACATGTGGATCAGACAGGTCAAAATAAACGAAGTCTTTGGTGTTCCCACCTTACTCAGGAGCTAATAAATCCCTTTTGCTATATAAACCAGTTTGAGTTGGATTTTCTCTATTTACAACTGAAATCATCTTCACTGACAACTTTCAAACTAACTTTTATGAATATTAGCCAGTGAGTAAGGCAATCATATGACTTGTTGTCCAAATCAGAACTGTATTGAAAGGGCAAGGAGGAGCTGTTAATCATCACATGGTGGCAACAGGTGTCAACTGGGACCATCCTGGACAAACTGCAACATGAGGTCACTCTTACCATGGAGGCATATGCTGGTTGCAGTTCTGTCAGTGGATAAGCTGTGAGCCTTTGGGTGATCAATCTCAGATTCCTGAGTATCAGTTTTCCCATATGTGAAATGAAATATAATGTTCTGGGAATTTAGATAGTTTCACCCTGGTCTGTAATATTCTGAGCTCCCTCTGCAGTGAGAGTCCAAACGCTGACATGTTCCTTAGAGCAGAGATCATCATCATCATCATCATCATCATCATCACTTTATTAGTCAGCTATTGATGCAACAGTGCTGCATAACAACCAACCACAGATTTCACAGTGGCTTACAACAATATTCATCCTTCTTGCTGATGACTCTGCAGGTAAATTCTGACTCAAGTGATCCCAGCTGGGCTTGCTTAGCCAGGCTGAACTCCAGACTTTGGCTTGGGTTGGAAATTCTCTGTGTCCATTCCTGTACCCAGGCTGAAGGAGAAATGACCACTTGGGACATGCTCATCTCACGGCACAGGGTGGACACTCCAGGAGGACAGAAAAAAACATTCAAGTACGTTTAAAGTCTTTGGTCTGACATGACATATACTATATATCCACTCACATTCCATTGGCCAAAGGAAGTCATAGGGTCAAGTTCAGTGTTAGTGAGACTGAGCTTTGCAGTCCACTTCAAGACGGAGGCACTGACAAATCACATGGCAAAGGGCTTAGATATGTAAATCTATTAGAGGGTAGATGTGAAGAATTAGTAACAACAATCCAGTCTAACGTCCACCATGCGTTTGGCACGCCCTAGCTGCCACGCTGTTGAAATGCATTATCTCATTAAACCTCACAACACTTCTATGGAACAGATATTATGAATATTTTTGGGTGAATGAGTGTTTGCCTGTTGGATGCCTGTTGGGCTATGCCCCGTGGTTACCATGTAAAACAGTTCTGATAGTCAGTTGGCTGGAGAGCAGGCAAGGTAGCTGGAGGGCTCTGTTAAGCATGAAGAGGGATTTGGAGTTATTTCCTAAGCTCATATAGGTAAGATGCAGATCTGATCCCAGGGCTGCCAATAACAAGAGGTTTCATTTAGGTTGGGAGAGAACTTGCAGTGTGGCTGTTCGATGGTCATATAGCTAGTAGAGGGCAGACACAGTACTTGGACCCAACTGTATGCTCTGAATTCAGGTGTATATGACATTGTAGTATATACACCAAAAGGACAGTGTCATTGCCTTTCAAAGTCAAATGCTAGAATAGTCACAACTATAACTGAGGGAACAGTATTCTAAATAAACAGGATCTATATTTCCTGACAGATGATCTCAGTGTCCCAGGGAGACACTAGAAAAACAGAGAGAAATGAACCCAAATTCTAGGGGTTTTGGCTATTGGGACTCTCTGTTCTTTGTCCAGACACCAGAGTGGGCACCTTCCCTTGTGGATTTGTTACCCATGTGGGCCCAGGGAGGGTTAGAGTGTGGACAGCACCCCAGCAGTACCCGGCCATCCATCCTCCCATCCGACAGTACAAGGACAGTCACCTTCTTCCTGGAGTCATTTCACTGCTCAGGCCTGAAGGTTCCTGCGGCGATGGCTCAAAACCACAACAATTTGTTGGCTCATGATTCTGTGGGTCACGACTTTGGGCAGGGCTCAGCTAGGATGGCTCACTCTCTTCCGTGTGGTGTTGGCTGGGCTCACTTATGCATTTAGAATCACTTGGCAAGTCAGCTCAGGCCTGGCTGGTCCTGGTTGGTGTTGGTCACAGGTCCGCCAGTTGTCTGGGCTGCCTCAGTTCCGTTCTGTGTGTCCTCTACAGCAAGCCAGCTTGGACTTGTTCTGACGTGCATAGCATTCTGTGAGGGTGAGACAGAGGCTGTAAGGTCTCGACATCTAAAGTTGAGACCTGGGTGACACAATTGCTGTCATATTATATTGGTCAGAGCAAGTCCTTACCTCTTGATGGGAAGATCTTTAAGAACTTGTGATGATTTAAAAATTTATCACACCCACCTTTACAGCTAGGGGAAGGGAGCCTAATTTGCACAAATCACACAGCTCCTAGACAGAATGGACATTGGGGGAAAACTGGCTAGAGGCTGGAGAGGAGGCCAAAAGGTAGATTGAGCTTAGGTTGTGAGGGGCTATGTATGCCTTGCTAGGTGGACTTTTATCTTTTAGTCTTGTGGTTCTCACTCTGTTTTCTGTGACAATATAATTAATGATTCTGATGCATTCCCATTAGTAAACATGATTAAAAGTGAGTCACCATGGCTGTTTTTCTCAACCTGAAGATTGAGCATGAGTAATATTTCCTAGGGGGGCTGTATGCTCCTTTCTCTTGGGGAGCCTGCCTTGGTTATGACTCATAATTCCAGGCAGTGGGCAGCCACTGCTATCTTGTTCCTAAATGCAAGGGAGATGTCTGCTCTGAGATTCAGTCTTAAGGTGCTCCTGCAACAGCTCTCAGTTACACTCTCACACAGCCTCCTTCGTTCCCCTCTGTATGTGCATACGCTGCTTGTTTGGGATTTTCCTGTTTCCAGTAGCACACTATGCCAGAAGCAAATTTCTTCCTGCTGCCCAGGTCTTTGTGGGCCCAGTCCACTCCTGGATGCTCACATACCATTCTCATTGCCATGGCTTTTTCTTGCTTCTGGCCTTGACCAGGACAACCCCAGTCCATCCAATGTGTTTGTATATCAACCAGGGGGACGGCCATGGTTCAGTTCTCTTTCCTCCCAGAAGTCTCCTCCAAGCATACTGCAAATGATATGGTCTCCAATGACCACAAGAACGTCTTGAAAAGGGGAGGGTGATATCTTTGAGGCATGTGAGCTGAAGCTACAGCGAGTGTCCTGCCATATACACATATTTATCTCTGCTGCTGGGCTGGACACAACTTGTAGAAGAAACATGGGATTTACCTTGTTTAGGTGAAAATAATTATCTATTAAAAAAGTGGATTAATAATGGATAAATAAACAAGGTGACTGTGCAGCATCCCTCTAGATGGAAAGGTTTAGGGACAAGGAAAATGTTCCCTGGTGGATGACTCCTCTCTTCTCAGAGTCCTGGTTCCCAGCAGGTACCAGTGCCAGCTGATATCAGGCATCTTAATCTCTGGATCCTCCCTTACACTGTTGGAGGACACCTGAACAAAAGTCTGGAACAGTGAGAACTTCTCTCTTAAACTGAGTTGGAATAAGGCTCTGAGGAATCCTTTAGGGGATAGGGCAGAACAGGGATGATAATTTTAGGGGAACGGAGGTGGGGGAAAGGGAAGAGGAAAAGAGATGTAGGATGTGAGCAGGGAAGAGGGAACCCACCTATCTCCTCCCCTGGGGCCCTTCCTAATTGAAAATTCCTCGCCAGCTCTGCAAACTTATTTTTGCAGGGCTCTTGGCTGCACCTACCCTAGACCAGGAGTGGCTAGTTTATAATAAGGACTTGAGGCCTTAAGTGTTTCTGTGTTAATTCAGTAGCTGCTGCAACAACTGGTCTATTTGAACAGCTCATTTCTGCTCCTGCATCCCATTAGAGGCAGCCTGTACTCACCTCCATTTGGCTAAGGAACCTGAGCTCTTGGAGGAAATGTAGGTTATTTACAGTAAATTGCTCAATTAGAACAAGGAGCAAGGGGGGTTTCTGCCGTTGTCTGACATAGCAATCTCAGGGCAGAGAGAGATGGCTGGGATTGTTTAATCTGCAGAATCCATTTGACCGTCACTGGGGGGACAGTAAATATGGTGGAAAGCAGTTAAGGGGAATGGCCTGTAGTTTCAGCAGGAACCCCAGGATAGGGAGGAGGCACCTGAGGGGTAGGTGATGGAGGACAAGGAAGGAAGGCCGGGGCAAGGCAGTCTCCGTCCCTCAGAGTCTTCTAATACATTGGTTCTCAACCTAGGATGCTCATTGGAATCTCTTAGGACATCAAAAAATGCTGATACCTAGGTTCCACTTTCTTCTCCACCTTCTGATTAAATTGGTTTGGCTTGTGTCCTTAGGAAGATCCCCAGGTGAGGATGCTCAAAAGGAATGAGAGTCTTTATTATTTTATAGTGGAGAGTTGGAAGTGCCCCTACAGAACACAGCTTTTCGGGTGAAGCAAAAGGGAAAAGTTACCTACCTGGATTATTGACAAAGAAGGGCCATACTTTTATCTCTTGAGTTCCCAGGCCAATTAATATTCCTATTTACTACTCTTATTTCCCTTACTAGTCATGCGGCCTTGGTCAAATCTCATTTCCTCAACTTTAAAATGGGCATTGTCGCCCAATCTACTTATTTCTTATTATTGCCCTGAGGATCAGGGTTCATGAAGATGCTGTTCAAACAGTCTAGTGGGGAGAGAAGAAAGAGTAGAGATGTGGCTTAAGGTGTGGAACTTTGGAGGAGATTGCCTAAGTGATGGAGGAGGGGTGATAAAAATGGACGAAAAATAGATTTTCAAAGCCTTCTACGCTCTACCCTCTTCCCCAAGGGGCTACATTACAATCTAGTCAGAATATCCCATCAGCAGCTGCAGAGGCCAGTTCTGAATACATTTAGTAGCAGAGAGGTTTGGGATCAGGAATCCCATGGGGATCAGGGGTCAGCCATGGCGAGGGCTCCTCAGGCCAGGTGGGACTGATGAGAAAGGGAAGGGAAGAGAAGTAAAGGAAAAAAAAAATGGATTCTGGGCAAGCTTTTTCTAGGCTGAGACTAGCAATTAGGCTGAGACTGGTTCCCAAGGCAGTCATGAGAGTGAGCCTCCACAAGAGCCCAGTGGCCCCAGCTATGAAGGTCAGAAGTTAGAGCTTATGGAGGCTCATGGTACATCCTTTGCACATCAGCCAGGGCAACAGATTCTGCTCCAACCTGCAGAGCAGCACCTGTCTCAGCAGAAGCATAGCAAGAAGGTCTCTCAACCTGGTCCAGGATGGCCAGACTCCCCTGTAATGAAGCTCCTACCCTCTGGTCCCTCATTCTCTCCAGGACAGTGCTTGACAGCAGAGGGACTTCGTTGTCTTGAAGGTCCTATCAAGCCAGCTTTAGGAGGAGCTCGTAAACCACTGGATACTTCCTGAAATGGCTACTGAGGAATTAGTAGTATCTTGGCTTCCTAGGTTGGATGGCGTGGAGGAAGGGCTGCCTTGCAGACTTAACTGGGGCTATGTGCAAGGCTGCTATCTTTGCTGCCAGTGCCTAAGGCCTTCATACTACGTTCACAGCCTTGACAGCACTAGCATCTTCTCTCTTCTGCATTCCATCCCCTCCAGAAATTGCAGCATCCCTTAGTGGGGCAGGTACTAGAACTGAAAACCATGTGATTTTAGACAGGAAAGTTGTAGCAAGCCAGAAGCCTCAGGACAGAGGAGAGTCCAGCTGAATCCAGCTAAGGAGGCAAGCTTTGGGTGTCTGTCTACCTATCCAAGTACAGGCTGAGCTCAGGAAAATGTCCTTCTGTGTCTTATCATTTGCCACTAACAGACTATGTGACCCTATGCAGGTCAATGTCAGTCTCTGGATCTCCATCTTCTCACTTGTGAAATGGGGCATTGGAACTAGACCAGC